AAAACATTTGAGGGTCCTATGAAGTTTTCTGCATAAAAGTTTGATAAGCTGACGTACATCTGAGTTTAAACAGCATATATGACAGGCAGGTATGTATATTATATATACGCGTGTACCGGATACTCAGTTCTGTGTTCGAGAGGGGAGACAACAGTGTGATGATGTTGACCGATGTGATGGGTTTGGCTCGCGCTCCACTAATTAGTTTCGGACAGGTGCCCTGTGTTTGTTCGGAGGGCCGAGATGCCACATTACATTAAATTATAGTCTCTCTGTCCAAGAAGCTCACATAGAAGTATCGTAAGAACACGTACACTTTTGTTTGTGATCACAAATCGAGTTATAATCATTATGTTTATTCATCGGTACGGGATGCTCATATTTCGATCTTCAGCAGCAAGCGATTACGTCTTTACATAATGAAGGGCAGTAAAACCTGATGAGTCAGTTCTTTTAAAGCCGTCTTCTCATGGGTATTTGATATGTAACACAACATCTGTACTCATGAGTCCATCTCATATGTGTTTATAGATATCATGCAAACGATATCAACACGAGTAGAAAACGAAAGAAAATTGACAATTAATGACAGCAAACCGTTAAACCATATTCCAGTCTGAGAATATAACGGTAATTAAAACCTTAATTACAATTAGTCTAGATCTCCGGTTTGTTCTCTGAGCTATACGTATAGCAAAACATCTTAGTCTGGTTTGTTTCTGTGTAATTTCAGAAAAATAACAAAATTACACATTTAATTAAGAACACAAAAAACATCCCTAAGCCATATAGTAGACTTAATGTTCACCGTCAAGTTGGAGATTGTGTAATTTACCTGTAAACATAATATGTTATACTTGTCTGTAATAGTATAGCTATTTGTAGAGGGTGTCACAAGAACGCCAGCTGTATTACACTGATCATATTTTGATGTATAAGTAACATATATGGGTATTTGTGTGGAGCACTTTAATTGTCAAAACATATTGAATGTTGTCCTTGTTTTAATCAATCATTAATTGTAAGGGTATATATTTTGTTATCAAAAGTTTACACTGTTTTAACTACAAAGTGTTCTCATTTGGTACTTGTGGAATGTGTCCAACTCGTAGATTAAGTGAAATCAACATGAAATTGAAAATATGATGACTTTGTCATTGTCATGACCAATTTGGTTCATAGATATTTCTTCAGGTAGGTTATGTCAATACAAAAGAAGTTCTTATTACACAACTAGTAGAAGATTTTTAAATGTTACAAAACTATCAACTTCTTCAAACAAATGACCAGTATGAAGTATGAAATGGTACAGAGCCGGCCATTGAAACGTCACACTTGGATCTTCCACTGGTCATGTTATATAAACCTCTATTGTACACACCACAGCTGCCTGAATTTTTATAGATATCAACAAATAAATAAGAATTTACCAGGACAAGAGGCCCATTACAGAATGTAAGTATACTAATATGATCTCTCAAATTTTTGTTTGTCTGAAGCATTGTTTACAGAAGACTGAGAAATCATGTTGTTATATCTACATTACATTCTGTAATGGGGCTGCAGTCCTGGTATGTTTTTGTTTATTTGCCTATCAAAATCAAAACATGCCTGGATTCCCCCACTCATGTATCTGTGTTCAACGATCACCAGAATTGTTGGTGCCACAAAATCTGATACTCGCTTGTTGATCACTTGGCAATTGTAGATATGGACATAATGATTAATTATTGTGTCCCAATCTTTCAACTTAGATGCAAGTCAGAGATAATCGTTCTAACACCCCTAACCAAATGCTTTCCCTTACTGAATGGATACCCTGAAAATACTTTATAACTACGCTTTAGCATTACTCCTACAGCATCTACAACATGATCTTTAATTCTTTTTTGTAATATTTTTGCAAGTTAGTACTCGGCATCTTATCCAAAATTTTGACAAGTGCAAGATTCTGATATTTCAGTCACCCCCCAAAAAGAAAAACCTCTGTTGACTCTCTTTCAGATAATAAATTCAAGCATATCTTCCTTTTGTAATGATATGAATCGTATTTTACCATTGTTCAGTATACTATGATAGGTTTGACTGTCATTCATATGTGAAGTACTATAGCGATAACATTAATTGTTAATTAAGGGGAATAAAATTGAAAAAAAAATCATAATTCAAACAATAATGGATAAAGGAAACTTGTTTTATTGCAGGTTAATAGATATGGTTTATCACCAGTAGTAACTAGCAGCAAAATATATTCATTTCAAATGTTGATTCAAAGCCTAATGTAAATTCTTTTAGGTAAAATACTATTAGGATGATGAAAAGTATGTGTTAGCAGTAAGGATTACTTTTAAATAGAATCTTTCAAAAAATTGTTTACAAAATCATCAATGACAGTAATTAAATTGCTTTGATTGTTTTAATTATTTTCATCAAAATATTGCACAAAATAATTCATACCTAGAGGCTATTGGAAACTGAGTTTCATTCAATGCTCCTCATCAGCATTGGATAATTTTCTGAAAGATGAAAAAAAAAGTTTTTATGCATTGGAATAAGAATAGATATTCATTGTGAAATTTAGACAAAATGGAAAAAGCATGAATAATAGAAAGTTACAAGAAATTTTGTAATGTTTATTGCCATATTTACAAATGGTTCTTTTCCAAAATTTTGATCCACCAGCAACTTTCAAAATCAAGTGTTTCCAAGGGAGATAACTCTTGTGTTCTTGTCATTCATGATCACTGACCGCTTTACATGGCTTTTAAAATCTAATCTGAAAGTGATATGGTTGTTCACAGGTATAACCTGCACATTAAGATGGTAGCAATCCTTCAGGTGTTAACTTTTATACTAAGAAAGTTTTCTCTAGCGTATTAATTGAGCAGAAGATAAAGTATTACTGTGGTATGTCAGATTTCTAATATTTTTTAACCTGTTTACTTGGAAAGTGATTTTAAAAGAATTCATTTCATAAATAAGAGTAGAAAACCGAAAACAAAGAACATCAACTCATCTTTTCTTTTTCTTTTTTGTTTTTTTTTTTTTTTTTGGAGGGTTTGGTTGGAATCATGATAGACAGTATTGAATTGAGGTAATATAGTTTACTGGTACACTTCATATATTCAAACTTTCAGAAAGTTTATAAACTTCTTAGTTTTAAGTAAGGTCATACTTTTAATAAACATAGAAAAAGACCAAAATAATTCCTGTTAGTAGAGTATGTCTACAACTAAGGACTCAGATAACAATATATTTTCCACATTTTGCATTCTTAATGGAAAATCACATTAAAAATACAAAGCATGTTGTACATCCAAAATGTATACATTAACATATTTAGAAATCAACAATCAAATACATGTATCTCTGTTTACGTAAATATACAATTAATAAAATATGATTATATATTCATTTTGTACGTTACTTACCTCATTCAGGAAACATGCAGTTTTAAATCATTTGTTTTAAAATGAATTGATAGGACTGATGAAGATAAGGTTCACATGTCTCCATTCTGTTGGCGAATTAAACCATAAGAATGTATCAAGATAGATAAGAGGAACACTAGGGATATCCTAAGATTGAAATATTTATCTTCCGACTGTTTAATTTTTTCATTTAAGAAATATTATTAGATATCAAAATTATCTATGCTGAGTGTACCTAGAATTTTGAAGTGAGAGAAATGATGGATTATATAAAATTTTCCTTGGGTTTTTTTTGTGAAATATTAATCATCTACAGGAAGAAACTATATGGATTATAATTATTTATGGTTTTTATCCTGAATGAGTGCCCCTGTGTTTGTATTACAGTGAGATGTAGTGTCGGATGCTGTGCTAGGGAGATAAGTGTCTCCGCAGGAAATGACAGTTTATGTACAAATGTATAAAGCTAGTTTCTAGGGGTCAGAGGTCAGGTCTCACATAGGTACCACTGTATATTGGAATGTGTGTATCAGTAAATCTGATGGAGATTTATATATAGGACAGGGGCAAAAAATATCCGTTTCATTTAGGTCAACTACTGGTAGTCCAGTATTGGTTCAGTATTGTATGCTGAGATTTCCTACAATTGTCTACTTCACACTTTCAATAAAAATTGTAACAGAATTAAAGACTATTCAAGAAAGTATGATTTCAGTTGTAAATATACTGTAGATTAATTGGGTGTGCTATTATGAAAATTGTTGGTTTGTTTACTTGCATAGCTTTCGCCCAGTTGACATCCAGGTACATTTTGAGACAAGTCTCGGCTACCTCACTGAACAACATATGAGAGACCTGTTGTGTGCATCCCAATGTAGTTAGGGTAAAGCATTTTGCTCAAGGACAACCAAGTGACAGATCTAGAAGAGCCTGTTTCTGAGTTTCCTTAGAAATACTGACCACCACTGGTAGGGAATGTGAATCATGCACCTTCAATTTTACCTTAGGTTATATAATGTACAAGGGCCAACGTCCTGACTGACTGAGGTACAATAGCCACTAATGAAAAGTTTGAAACTGTACATACCTGTATGTAGAAGTTGTTTGTGGTTGGCACTGCAGTTAATTTACAGTGGTTATATACATATATTCCTCAATAAATGATGATCAGACCTTGTTCTGGAAAGTGGACAACATTACAATCAATTATATATATTGTATAATTATTGGATATTTGTTCTATATTGCACAATCAGACTGCATAAACAGTTGTAGCAATATTGAGTGATATGAATTAAATACATCTTTATGTTCAGAGACTTCTAATTAAAGACTCATTGTTCATATAAAAGAATTCAGATATGGTTTTGATGGTCTATAAATACTGAAGTGAAATGTGGGAGAGTAAATTATTGTTATAAACTAAAACTTAAGATTCCTTGGCCTGCTTTGTATGGGATGGTGGATTTTTCACCTCTCAGCGTCTTATGTTCTTCTTGTTTGTACTGGTACTTAGACACACCAGCATGTACCTAGTTTTATACAAAATGTTCGAGTCAGCTGTCTAATCTTGAACAGGTTAATTATAAGCACGCAATACTCCATATTTATTACGAAGAAATTTTACTTCTGTGAAGGAATTGTGATATAGAATCGGTCAAGATGTACGCTGAAGTTGGGGAAGTTCTGGCTGTAAGGGAACAGAGACGATCAGTGTCTTCTGTTACTTCAGAAGAGGAAAGGTATTGGTGTTTACTAACTAGTTCAATTTGTGTAGGTATCGTATACAGTAAATATCTGTAATGTATTGATTTATATTCAATATCAGTTCTGTATTTATTTTTGATATAATACTTACTCTATTGACATACATGATAATATATAAAATGGTTTATAAGTGGAATTTTCTAAGGCATGAGATATCTTTAAGCTTCGAAGTAGAAAAACTGTCAGATATTGTCATGATCATTGGACAGTAAATTTTTGTAGAGTAGAAGTTCTGTAATACAACCAGTAGAAATAAGACATTTGTCTGATGAAGTTGACCATGTAGCCATCAAAGCATCACACTCTAATCTTCCACTTGTTGTGATATAAGAACTTCTATTCTATTGACATTACCAACCAATAGAAAATGTTCCAAAATATGTTTTAATTTAAAAAATATGAAGAGTTGTTTCCCTTAGATCAATTCCATAGTATCTATCACTATGACAATATCCATTTTAGTTACTGGTATAAAGTTTTATATGCAAGTTAAATGAAGGCTGAAAAGGAGAGCTAGATAATCAAGTCGTTAGTTTATAGATTTCTTAATTACTGTTCGTGTGTTTGCTTTGGGGAGAGACTTCAGAGAGATGTGTACAAGTTGTTGATCTTTTGCCCTGAAATATCGCCAAATGTTACACTCATTTGAATTGAATTTAGTCTATTACATTTTCCAATAATTCATTCTCAAATCAGCTTAACATGTTTTATTCATAATTATAATAGAATAGTTTCAGTGTTCATATTGGTTATAACTGGAGCTATGTCTGTGTAAAATACATAATAATATAAAGTTAAAAATTGTTATAATGTAACAAGTAATTACATAGAATAATCACACTAAACATGCAGAAGCCTTTTATCTTTCAAATATTTATGTACTTAACTATCCTAGTTCTAAATTAACTTCCTTTAAGTTTAGTTGGATACAATGAAAACTATAAGACAATCTTAATACCTGTGTGCTCACCACCTTTCATGGTCATCAACAAGCAACCAAAATTTGCTGAAGTCCATTTTCAAAGATTTTTTTAGTTACAACATCTTGATAAATTTTGAAAAATTGAAAATAAAAGTATGTTAGGATAAACTGGTTCAAATATTGAAGTTTGTAAATATATAGGGTTAGCTGCTTTCACTTACCTGTTCATCATATACGGCAAGTTGATAGTAGTCACACTGGCTAAGGTGAGAAACAACACCCTCCATCCATTTTGTCCTGAATTTACGTCTAAAATATGACATTTAGACAATTTTTTTCCTGTACATACCTGTGTGTAGAGGAATCCTATGATTGTATACAGTTCAAGTGCAGATTTATTACAATATAAATTCATAAACACTGAGATTTACAGCTCACACAGTTTAGAAAGGATTTTTAGAAACTTAAGTGGCTGTAAATATGCTACAGAATACTAATGTAACAGAAGCCACATTTTTTTAGGGTCATGTGACCACTGTTTTGAAGTTACCGTCTGAATATTATATATGGTCTCTTCACTGCCTGGGCTCTTTAGTATATGATTCGTTGAAATATGACACGGAAAATGCCCAAGTAGGTCAAAACACAAGCCATCTTTACAATAAAACAGATAAAAAGAAGATTTTTATCATGAGATTTTGTTCTTTAAAATCTGGAGCGACACTTGAACGATGACCTTTTCAGTATGTACATAATTATTTGTTTCGAGTTAGAAAACATCAAAAAGGATTCTAGATTTCACATAGACTGATTTTGTACAAAAGATAAAAAAAGGTTCTCACCTGGTTTAATATTTCAGGTATTTTTAACTTTAAAACTTTTCAATAGTGGTGTGATTAAAAATGATTTTTAATAGAATTATCATACTGAATGCTTACTAATCTTTCCTAGTGTATATTTTATGCAGATGTTCATGCTTATACACCTTTTTAATTTTGAAGGAATATATAAGCTGCCACAAGGATTCAATCCTCACAGAAAGCACTGTATGGAACAGTTTACTAATCAAATGTGTGATTATACAGGAACATTGGTATCTAACAGTATTTAACATGTAGAAAGCTTGTTTTGAATATGATAGACAGTTTTTTATTTTTGAATATTGATTTTCTTGTAATTTGTAAATATTTGTACATTAGAAAATCAACATATACATTTTTTTGCTTTCGTTGTAATGAGCCCATCTGGATACAAGCTATAGGTATACATATCAATTGTTCACATGTTTACTTGATGGAAACTGCAACAAAAGTCTGGACACCATACACTTTATAATAAAGTACAACCTAGTTGCATCATATACACAAAGGGAATTTGCTAAACAGTTAAAAATATTTTAGATAAGTACCTTTATTTTTACTAACAAATATTCTTACCTGTATAGTACAGCACAGTAGTACTTGTCACAAGTGGAAACATAATGTGGAACACTATCGTTGATTGCTCGTCAGTAAGGGTTGGAATACTAATGAAGCCCTCTCTAACAGCTTTACATGAAAACCAAGTCTCTACAATCCCTTGTATACATAACCCCGGGGCAAAAACAACATACACCAGTCAAGGAGGTCAGAGGAAAAAAGGTTAAACGAACATTTATGCAAATATTTCACCTAGTTGAAAACCCATTTTGTCAGTCAACAAGCAGTATAAGGCAGCCAGATATCTTATCCCTTTTGGCTGGAGTTTATGTCAGACTTAAATGCTTGGAGAAACAATTGTTATTTGTAATCTCCTGGACTTATTAAGGAAACTAATATACCTGTAGAGGTATTTCATGTATTCATTCTGCTTGGCTATATAAGGAGCTTGATTCAATTCCAAGGACTGGATTTTGTCACCGACTCTAATGTCTGGGTCAGTTGTGTTTACAACCCAGCGTGCATTGTGGGGTGTTTGACCCTTACAAAAGGTTTAGGGTGTGGATTTATTAAACTAGATACTGTATACATTTGTATTTATATGCCGGAAAAAGATTGTAGATTATAAAGGTAGGCTGTACACCTGTGTAAGCGGCCCGTGAAGAAATTATCTGTTGGTGTGTCTATACGTGTACCCAACCTCAGCGAGCTGTTCCATGTATTAAGAACACCAGTATTTCATATTGTGATTGTTTACCTTCTGCACGATTCATGTAGACATGGTATGCCCATTCAGGTGAAGATTTATCTCTGTGTGTCTCTGCTAACAACTGTGACAAATATTGTAATATTTGCTTCGTAAAATACAGTTTTTGGGTGTGCTATTTAGACAAACAGTTTTAAAAACTTGGAAAATTTTACAACTATTTCACATTTTCTTATGATGTTCTCTTGTATGTTAAACAAATGAGATTGGAACATACATAATTTAACAATCAGTGGTGTAAGAATTTGAATAGTATCATCATATGCTTTGACCTTTACTGTCATAAAGTGCCGTCATTATCTTAAGGAGAATAATTTCGTGAGGAATCTGTATTACTACGTTGTCTGCCGTGAGACTTTCTGTACAGTAGGTCACAGAATCAGCTGCATCATTTAATTCTGTAAAGGAAGTGACTACTGTGTCATCTTGGCATGATAAGGAAATAGAGACAGGACATCATCATCAGTGGATAACAATATTTATCATTTCCACATGTCAGTGTTATTGGACCACTCACTGTAAGGCATTAACAAAGATCTGAAGGACTCTATTACTGCCTCATAACAAATTTCTGATTGGTGGAAAACCTGTATAATCACACCTGTAAACTGCAGTGTTTAAAACAGATGGTCCATCTGCATAAGTATATGTGTAGTCAGAAATACAATATCAGCTCAAGTCATATGGAAAGTTATGTAGAAAAGGAACAGACAGAGAAAAAATAGATTTGTGTCAGATCTCGATTCACTTTTAATATTTGCTTAAGAAAGCAGAAAAGTGTGCATGGTCCTGTCTGGAAAATAACAGGAAACTTTGATGAAGGATAAAGATTTCATTGTAAATTTTGAAGAGGATCACATTTATATAGATATTTCATAGAAATTGTGGATAATAACAGTGTTGATTCTGGTGCCCTTAAGGATTTCTTCCAAGTTATGATGCAAGGATAGTTTTATGAATGCAATTTTGAAAGATGATGGGTCTGTAGTTTTGTGAATCAATCAATATATCTTGTGAGTCATTCTTTGTAAATATATAACCAGTTTATTGAATAGCTGATATAATTTCCATGGGATGTGTATTTGCAGCTAACATATCGATCAATTACTACTTAGTGTTGCATGGTCTAAACTGGATCACTCAACTAGTATCTGATTTCAAGGTAATCTCATAGAAATTAGACTCGTAGCTAGCTTGAATTTGTTTTAGAACTGCAAAGTATTGAGAAAAGGAAAACATTTTCCACTTGTTGTTTATTCATATATGAGAGAAAACTGTTTTCAAAGGAGTCGGTCCAAGAAAAATTGATAGTCTGTTTAAAAGACTCCCATCAGAGAAAAATGGCTACTACAACAAGCAGGACAACCAGTAGAGGCAACATGCATTCGGTTAAACAAGGACGCAATGTACTACGTTTGCAATCACTCAATGACAATACAGAAAGTGAACTGTTCCAACGGAGGCGTCTCCATTTTGGAGGTGAAGATGAGGGTCACTATTCCACAATCAATGGCTTAGATGGAATGGCAGTGCTTCCTAATGGAGATCCAAGGTATTGAAGTAAAGTTATTAAACATAGAAGGGTTCCAGAGATAGGAGTACCATCTGATCATTATACAGATTTCAAAACATCTGTTGCGGAGCTTTTAAATATTTTAATATTATGTTTTAAATTTCAAGCGACATCTTTAACAAGTATTTGCAGCAAATTTTAGTTATGTCACAATTACAATCAAAACAAGCTTCTATTTCTGTTACTGGTAGATGGTGAATTATTCAAATTATCCTATGTATGTGGTTGGTTGTTAATCCATTATCTATCCTTAAAGATTTCTTATCATTTTTTCTTGAAAAGTGCTGGTTGGATTT